ATTATCCTTTTTTGGTAGTTTTTGTCGGTGAAATGTACCTGTCGGCGAAATGATTGTCGGCGAAATGAATGCCTCCCCTTAATTATACCTTCTGACGGGCCCATACCGTTTTGCCTAATGCATTTCACAGACAACTAACTGCCAAAAAAGATAGACTTTGAAACAATGTTGAGTGTTTGTCGGTGAAATGATTGTTGTCGAGATGACTGCCTCTCCTTTTTTACCGGTAAGTGCGTAACATTAGCCGCTTCAGCATTAGCTAACGCATAATTGAAGCGAGTAATTTAACAAGACAGTATTTAGACAAGCTGCAAATTCCCTACTCACCGACTAAACACAACATACGCATATAACAATATTAATTTTATTTTTCGCGAACAATTTTATGCTATAACTTAATGTCTAATTAATCTACGCCTCCAATTTTTAATTGCACCTTGCCTAAAGCCTTACTATTTCACCAAAGTGACATGTGCTCCTTAGCTTGTAAAATTAGGATAATAATTATTACAGTTATCGTGAACGAGGTTAACAATTGATTGTGTATCTCCTCTATCAAGCACAGTTAAGATGGACCTCTACAGCTGCTTCGATGTCAGAAATTGATTGGTGAGTCCTTTATTAGGCACAGTTACAATGACTGCTAAAGCTGTTTGGTGTCAACAATTGAGCGATAATAATGAGCAGGATATAAATTTACGTTTTTTTGTAAATGTCACAAATAAGAAGGTCAACGTCGCCGTTTTCATCGCATTCGAAATAACTTTTATCAGATAAGTTAAAAATTTTAATGACAATTTGCAAATATAATTGAAATATCCTTTATTAATATTATTTCTGCTTTAATTATCACAACATATTTATTCTTTGAAAATATTTACCATGTATCCAACTCCAAAAAAAGGCTTCATACAAAACTTTTTTTGTATTCCCAAAAACAGTTGACACAAACGGCTTTGACAAAGCAAAAATTAATTATTAAATTTGACAAAAATAAAAATTGCGTCAAAATAACATAACCTATTGTTGAGCCTTTTTTTTTGATTTCTATTAGCGGGATTAACTAGCCTATTTGGTTAGGAAACTAAACTATTAAACTTGCGCAAAAAAATAAATAATAATTCTGATACGGAAGATGGCTTTGGCGAGTATAAGCTGAAGGACGCGCGTTCGGAGAGTACGTTTTGTATCTCAATAGTAATAGAGATTGATCTTTTGAGCAGAATCTACAATAACGAAAAGAATTGTTTTAACACGGTTTATTAGAATATAGAGAGAACTATTCTAATTGCAAGGATTAAAGATCTAATTTGAAGGTCTCAGCTGAAGATAATGTTCTGCCATCGTCTAAGCTACTCTTTCGCGGTCGTACTAGCGGCAAGAAAATTCGCCAGATGAAGGAAATTATTAATATTACACAACACAGGCGGCAAGAAATTAGGGCACATTAAGTAATATTACGGCAATAATTTAACAATAGGTTCAGATTTCTTGCCGTTCTTGCCATTGCCTATTATGTCCACTTCTTTTGCCGTTTGACGTTTTCCGCAGTTGCTGCGTTTGTATCACAAGATTTCATATGCCGCAGCCTTCGCAGATCGGAGCGGAAATTACGGAAGATTATATCACTATTACCCGTTGGATCTGACACTACCAGAACCATTGTTATATGATCCAGTGCATCGAATCAGACAACATAAACAGTCAAGACTTTTGTAGCAGCCATAATTGCAATAGTTGGTATGTGTTGGCTAACTATTTGAATAATTAATGGTAGATCAGTTACAAGGGTTAATCAAAACAGGTCAAAATAGGTTGTCAGTCTGGTTGGAGCATTTGCGAATAAACAAGTGCTGTACAAAACTCACATTTATGATAGTAGTAAAACCAGAAGAGTTATCGTAAACAAGTTCTGTTACATCTGTTAGTCTCGATGTTAACAGACTTTATGATTAATTTGAGACATCTTTATTTCCTGTTGCCAAACCCGGAGAAACTGCGAAATAGAACCATATCACAAATGTATTAAGATACAGCATAAAGTAGAAACTAGTCCCCCATAAACCCCATTCTCGACTTGAAACGTTATGTTGCATTTAATACATACCCCATCATCGCTGCCATTTCCGGATCAACTTCATCCTCAACATTGCTTTCATCTTTATTGTCTTTCTTGTTCCCATTTTTCTTTGACTTTTTCTTTTCCCGTTTACGTCGCTTTTCTTCCTCTTCTTGTCTTTGCAGTTCCTCGATTCGGGCATCAAAGTCTTTAAATAAACATATTAGTAAAGACCTGCCATAAATCATGCATCAACACCTGAAATCGCATATTCGCCCTTACCGTATGTCTCAGTGGCTTGTTCTTTCTTGGCTTTCAAGTTAGCCAACTTGGATCTGACTTGATCTATAGTGCTCCGTTCTACTTTCATGGACATACCCAGTGCTCTCTGATCTATAATCGAAGAAATACGGTTACAACTTTGAAATTTGAGCAAGCCCATTTCTAGTACAAAATATCCATTACTCACGTTTCTTTCCATTAATATGATCTAAATAGTTTACACTGTCTTTAACAACACAATCACAAACTTGACAGTAATATCCTGGCTGCCTTGAGGTGATGCTTGTGCTCTGTACGACTTGTGTCCGGTTCAGATTCGCATCTAAAACAACCTTTTCTGACCGTGCGCGGAGAAACTCTTTCGGCTGAGAATCGGGAGAAGGAGCACGAGGTTTAGGTTTGAGACCTTTGCGCTTGCGTTCTTCATCGGATTCAGCTTGTGCTTCACGTCTCGCCCGTTCACGGGCTTTAGCAGCGTACTCATCTCTATCCCATGTTCTACGAAATTGTGGTGTCTAAGGAGAAAACACAAGTGTCTAATGAGAAAACGAAAGCACCTGGTAACGAATTAGAAAGGTTGGAGAAGCTGACAAGCTAAGTCTGATTAAAAAAAAAAGGAAGTACTTACCGAAGTAGAGCCGCCATATACACCGCCTGTTCTTGAACTTTTTTCTGAAGACATTAGTCAATCTTTATTAACGGTAAGCACGGAAATTGTTAAAATGCTTGACATGCTTAAGTTACACTCAATAGTCACACGATGTCTGTCTATGATTCGTTACCATAATTCGTAGCCTTTAGCCAACTGTGAGATCTTCCATATAAATTGGTTTTTCAGCGAAATTGTCGTGTTAATTCCCGTAATAGTAAGATGTTTTATGCTATATTATCTTCGTGCTATCTTTCTTTTGATTTAGTTTTTAAAAATTACAAAAGTGTATAGCATGTCTCGTAAGGCAAACACTTCCACTTTCGCGGGTTTTATAATAAAGGATTCAGGAAATGCTGCTGCGAAAACCCGAATACGTATGTCTTTTGGTATTACTGCTCGACACTAAATTAAACAAACGCAACAAGAGAAATAATAAAAACCCTAAAACAAAAGTCAAAAGCGCGATCGAGAATTAGAAAAGATCAAGGTGAAATATCTAATATTAATTGACGTAGTCACATAATCAAGCCCAGAATCCCGCTAATACGACAAATTAAAAATTGGGTATTTAAATTTATCTTACATAATGATAACAAATTTGAAAGCAGATTTGATAATCAGCAAAAACGATAGTCTATGTACTGAGACTTTTACTTGCTCACAAATGGTTCCTTGGTTATATTTGGTTTAGTTCAGATGCTGTTGATATTGATCAAACAAATTTCTCGAGTAAAAATATTTATGCTCATTAACTTACTTAAGAACAACAAGCTGTAATTGGAAGGATAAAGTTCGCAACCCAACTCGTTGACTTGGAAAAGTATTAGCCAAATTTACGGTGTCGGCGACGTCATCATATTATTTGAAACCATTAGATTTTACTTTTACCGATAAACAGCGAACAAGAATGGCCTAAATATTCGGGATGGTGCATGCTTAAAGAATGTACAGGAAATGCGTCTGTAACTGATGGCACGATATAACGATATTTGGCTAAAACGACAAAATATGCCCTTACCAAAAACGTTATATTAATTTCATAACTGTAATATGTGTAGAACAATTACGCTTATCGGCTATACATGTTGCTGTTTACCTACTTATGTATATCAAGCAGACAACTTGGATCATAAAACATCTACGCTGACGACAAAGAAACCGTTTAGTCATCATGTAATATGTTCTTTGTTCACAATTATCCCCTGAATCTAGTTCACTTGTCTGCTTTATTATGACACACATATTCATTTGCTATATTGTTCGCACAATACTATGGAAGCGGCCGAGGGGGTCTGTTCTTGCTATTGTTCTGTCTCATACGACCAAATCGGTGAAGTTTGTAACAGCCAATTCCACCATTGTTCCAATCAAATTTTAATAAATGCCGACGATATGGATCACAGCATACAAACAGGTTATATTAAATAATGAATGTGTCAAATAATAATAATGAATGTGTCAAATAATTATATATACTACATACAAGATATAGTCGTAAGAGTAGTACTCCCAATTCAAACACAAACTAAATTTGTCGAAAACATTATTCTTATGCAAATAATGGGATCCTCATGTTACGTTCTCTACTATACAACATTACATGTTATCTTTCCGTTAGTCTCTTCAAGTCTTCTGATTCAAAAGAGTAAAATATGGTTGAGTCGGTTGCATCGACTAAAACCCTATTTTCATAATTGAAAATCTAAGCGGAAATTAATTCGCAAGTGTGATTGTTACATTTTTCACATGATTTAATTTTACTCCTCCATAATATAATATACATCACATTCAGACAATACCCGAATATTAATGTATCATGCTTGGGATGTCGCTGCTCAAATTGGATACAAAAGAAGAAGAACATAACAATGATTATAACAATATCACATAGGCAGACCTGTATACGGTACCACTTAAACCACAATTGATCTTTGTGAGCCTTTCTTTGATCGATGATCACGTTGTATTGTCCACATTTGATTGTTCATTTATGCTTGCTGCCCTTTGCTCTCACATCGAGTTAACCAAACCGGTAATGATGCTGCTAGTGCAAGGTCAACAAAACAATCTATTTCCATAATTGATTCGTCTTTGTATCTATTTTGCGGCTTTTAGCGTCCGTTTGTCTGTCTTGCTTCGTAAATAAGCTTTCAGATGTTTTCTACAATTTGGTGTCTGAAATGTTTAAAATTTAAAGTTGAATTTCCCTCCCGTTTCTTGTTTTGAGTTATCACAACCTGTTCAGCATAAAATATTTTGAATATGTCTCAAAAGCAGTAACTGCGAACGATGTTGCTTGCATATTGACCGATTTAGCTTTTTGGAATTTACGGAAATTTTGATGGTGCATTTCAGCTGAAAGAACAAAAGTATGTAGTTTGTCAGAGTATCTAACAAAGAACTATACACGGTTAACATAACTATTATTGTAGACAATGGTGAAGTCCTGACGTATCGATGTGTGGAGATCTTTCTCTTTCTCTTTCTCTCTTTTTTTTTTTTTAAATATCATTGATAAATATTCGACCTCTTTGTACAGAAAAATCTTATCGTAAGTGCCCACAGTTTGCTAACCTGCGATGCAGACCTCACTCTTAAATAATGATTTCATTAACATATAGACGGCGCTTGGATTACACCTATTTCAAGGCTGTGGAAGCGATCAATCGTAGTATTTGTTGTGCGCGCCTCGCGGTCGAGGAAAATAAGAAATCAGCGGTCATTGGAATTGGAGTAGAAAATATGAACAGATGGCAGTTGAATGGTTAAATACTCGTCGATGATGAATTCAAACAATCCTGAAAAGTAATTAGTTTTGCTGTGTGTATCATAAGTAAAAATCAGCATGTCAGAGAGAAAAAATGTACAGTCAATAGTATCTGGAAAGCAACGTCTTGGACGAATATGCATTAAGAGGGACCTAACAGGCTTTTCCTAAATGACGTAGGAGCAAAATACGTAGATGGCCGATACGTCAGTAGGGCTGTGCATGACCGATAATAATGTGTTGTAGAGTAACAGTCATCTATTTTTTTCAATGAGGGAATGTTTCATCCGAAAAGTGGCTGATACGTTAACTGATAATAATAACGCGAAGAAAGAATTTTTGTACTTAATATAATATTTATCACGTGATAAATATTCACCAAATTATTATTACATCTCATAAAATTGCTCTGTTATAATTATTCTTTCAAAGGCAGATAATACCAATCTGACAGTCTGTATTTGAACCATTGTATGTAAACATCTGAACAAAATGCTTGATTACTTGTATCATTCAACTTTGTAGTTTTCCATGTTCTATGGACCAGATATCTGGCCCCTTTACACAGAAGAGAGATTACATAGAAATTGGGGTCATTTGTTCTTAACCCTCTCTCTGTTGGTTGGTGTGTTCAAGGTTTGCTCAATATGCATCCATTCGCATGGCTTTCGTTGAAATGGCTAATCAGCTTATTATTATTATTAAAAAGTTTCATGAAAGCAAATATCGTTATGTAAATGAACAAGCTTAATAGAATGATTTTTGTAAGAAAAAGTCGTGCCTGATATCTTCTGCATTCCCGACATGCCTGCATTAAGAAGATCCATATACCAAACAATCAGAATAAATGTGCTCTATTGCTTAACCTCTAATAGGGTCTGTCATTCGATTCCGCATTAGTCTTCGTAACACAAATAAAGCTCTTAAAGCCGGCCCATAGATAGTCATCGCAGCCACATTCATTGCAAACAATCTCGCATTGTTCTACAGGATGATACTTTAACAGAAAGCTATGTCATAATGATAACACCAGCCAACATCAAATGTTTGTGAATGAATGTCGTGCTCAGTTTGATATGTCCATTATTAGACTAGTAACTTGTGTTCAGCCCTATTGAAGTTGAGTGTGATTGTGCAGTCGGTAAGGTCAATGGGGAGTGATAACTAAGGTGAGACAATCTCAATTCAAGAATAATTGTAACTTTTTGGAGTACACAACCGGGGAAGCGTTTGTTTGTCTGTTTGGAGTCTATACGTTATTTGGTAGAGAATTAAGACTTTATTTAATAAATAACATATTGAACAAGTATAAAGTGCGAGGGGATTTAGCTCAGTGGTAGAGCAATTGACTGCAGATCAATAGGTCACCGGTTCGACTCCGGTAGTCCCCTTCGTTATCGACACAGGCTTGCTTTCCTGTGAGATACATTTTTCATCTGTATGCGCGTATCTCGACTTTCCGCTTTTTGCTTCGCAACACATCCTTTGTAGATGTGGACTTTATCGCTCCCGATCTTCAACAGGAGTTAACTCTCCTACAATAGAAGCAATTCAAATGAATAATTACGTAATAAGTGTGACAATAATGTATTTGTCATAAGAATGTTTTAATACTTGACAATCAGTCAATGCGAGCGATTGTTGTGCTCTGATCTAATCGAGACGTAAAAACATTAGTATGAGCCGTGCGCTGCATTCAATGCGAACAATTAGTAACACTTAATAACGTCAGATTTATCGCGCGATATTAAAATTTTTATTAAAGTACTTTTTCATTGTGATAAAAGAGAAGAAAAAGAAAAAAAAAGTTGTTCATATGATTTACGCTAAAAACGCTATACCTTATTTTTATAAATTACAGCAAAAAAGTCCCAACCAATATAGATAATCCCACATGTCTTTATACAATATAAACAATTATAGTAGTGTGAAGAAATTTCGACACAATACTTAGATTTTTAAAAAATAAAACTTCATCGATGAAGAAGCGAAATTTAAAGTTATACGACAAACAAAGCTTATGGTGTGGGATATGAATAAGTCTGGGGTTAAAATTGAAACTTGTAGAAAATTGGAGTATTTTTTTAAGATGTTTTTTTTGGGGGGGTTAAAATTGAAACTTTTTGAAATGTTGTCAAGAAAGAAAATACAATTAGCTACTTTGATAAGTAACTTCTATGATTAAATACAAAGTGCAGCTCACATCGGCGGAAGGATATTTAACAGACAGTTATCTACAATCTATTCTTCATCCGATCAACAGAAGAGAAAATAGGGCTTAGAAGAAGTAATGGTGTCTTTTTGTTTAGTAAAAAAGAAAATATATCGATGTGGGATCGGATGAAAAATTCGGACTATTAGGGAAATTGAGCCGCACATGTTGAATAAGTATGAAAAAAAAAAAAAAAAAAAAAAGTGGGTTATTGGAATATGAGTGCGCACAAAGTGATAAGTGAAGTAATTAGTGATGTTTGTGTCCCGGACTAATTAAATGATCGTCGACATTAGATCTCTCAATTAAAAGGTGGAGTGTGTACGAATGGTAGAAATAGTTAAGGAGAATGGTGATTAAGACTTGCGTTTCGAATAGTTCCTTATGAAAATGATACGAGCACAATCTTTTTTTCTGTGATGTTTGTGTACACTCCATTCTTAATTCGAATCTTCACCATCATCCACACTACTGACGACCGGAAATTCAGCTCCAACCAACAAAGGTAAGTCGGTCGTTCTGACCAGTACTGGTCTGTATCCATCAGGGATCCAGAATACAGTTCCGCTTTGTCCGGTACAAGTAATTTTTTTAGTCTTTGTCCGCAATGTAGCAGCATCGGATTCAGCTGGGTTTGCGATAGCAACGGGGGGAATGACGAGGACTTCGTATTCTCTGGTTTCCCCAGAATCGGCGGACGAAGCGGGAGCTGGGACTTGAGTGTTGGCGGTGGTGCTGGTGGATGGCATTCTGACTAGGTTTTTTGTTGGAGTGTTTGAAGTCGTAAAGTAGTAAGCTGTTGAGAGTTTGTATGCGCTCGGTTGTGCTGACTTGAAAACTTTTGTTTTTACAATTGTAGGTTTTTGAAACTTGTGGTTTGGATGGGTGGGTGCAGTGGCTTTTTATAACTTGGAGAAACAAAGGAGTTGGTTATTTTGTAATTCTTCTAGGGCTTTGTTTAAACTACTGTATGATAATATATCGTTGTATGCCATTCTATTTGTTATAGTGGTACCTTCTATCCATAATTGGCAAACAGGTGCTCGGTAAGTTACCGTTAGTCAATCCATGATACCGATTTATCACATATGATGATGTATTATACTGTAGGGTTGTGATGAATAACTTCCTAAAATAAACAATTGCGCAACCAATATGTCTCTTTTTCACATAAAGAAACAGAAATGAGTTATGAAATAAATAATTAAACCTGTATTATTAATTACACAATATAACTTCTTTATATTGAAATTCTTTATTCAAATTTCCCACCTTAATTGGTAAAGCAGCACTGTTTACTTTCGCAACTGCCCCCCTGCTACCATTTACTTGGATTGCCCATGTCCATGCAACCGTAGTGCGAACGCAAAGATGAATTTTCATTGTAAAGAGACTCGCCTCTTGTTGAGATGAGAGCGTTGTGCCAACAAAAGAGAAAAAGGGAGGATGGGGAGAGAATAAACGAGGGAAAGACCGAATAGAAAGAAGAATCATTAGATTGTAATGGCGGCGATTGAGACTCACAATAATAGCAGTAATTTCTATTATCGTTCTATATATACATATCGAAACATACCTTACTATCTGTCACATGCATATATCTATGTATTGTTCTTCTATTATTTTATGTTGCTTCTTGTTCCCCCCTCTCTTTCTCTTCGCCTGTCATCCAGATAATATTCCGATTGTTAATGCCAAACCTATTTCGCCCTACGGATAAAATGGTAGTATGACAACCCATAATTGGATATGACATAATGGTACAATTATTTTAATTGGTAGGTAATACAATACGCTTTTTGATATGTCTTTTTACATTAATGTTTCATTATTGCAATTAGCATTGTCATGGTAAAAATGCGGAGATTGTGCGCTACAGGCTGAAATCAACTGGTCTGTACAATACCTGGTTCATATGATTTCCTATATAGTGAACATGTATAGTGATGAGAATGCACTAATGCGGGGATGAATATGATGCAAGAATTATGTTTGCGGAGTAGTTTCTAACAATATCATAATAAAAATAGAATATAGTTATTGTATTAACCTTAACATGAGATAAAGACAGGAGGTACAAATGTGTTGTATGCTCTATCAAGAAGGTGTCGCTGATGTTCTCATTGCACATTCTCTGTGTACTGGATACTCACGGCCACGTTGTGTATTTGATGAGCGGGGAAATCGGGAAATCTCTTTATTTGTCACATATGATGTAAAAAGTTTAGACCAAAATCGTGGAACAGGCATTCAATGAAGAAGCGAACCGATGTAATTGAATGCTAGGATGTTACGAACATATACCGTCCCATTGTTGTTCCGGTCAAATGGGTTTAGGTAGGAAGCTTTTTCGTTGTTTGGGACTGTCGTTGTTTCCTAACTGTTTCATTGTACACGATCTCCTGTGTAATGGCATTAATATTACAGAGAAATTACGACTAGCTAACAACTAAGCAAAGGACCACCTATGAACTAACGAAACGATATTGTGATACTAAAAGTTAATAGTGTTCGTTAACCTATCGTTTGCGCAACCGATCATTAATTTCCAAATGATAGCCCTCGTATTCAAATAAGCCAAACACATCCCCTGATTCCTTGTCACTCGTTAACCAATAACCGTACCCCTTTCATTCTCTTAAAATACACGATCAGCTAGTCATTCATGGTGTTGTAGTATTTATTTGGAACCTTGTCCACCATTAAGTACTTGTAATCCACTAATCGATTACTAAGGAGACAAAGTCAAATCTTGAAAAATTTTACAAAGACAATACCAAGAGACGGAAGACGGTTAACAAATGAGCTCAATGAACATGAACGACGGACATATAATAACTTTCGAAATCAGTTGTCGTAATATGGCATCAACAAACTCTGCAATTTAAAATTGCATCTCCGCAACCCAGACTCAACTGATTACCCGATAATGGGAGCACACGACCACTATTTCACTACCAAACATTTATAATAACCGATATTTTCAATAATCGGTTCACCAATTACACTTCGTGGCACTAATTAAACTCACGTTGGTTCAACGCTTTGTAGACAACGTGGTTTGCTTTGTAAACAATTAGTTACTATGGTTTCATTGGCTTAATCTATGCTTGGATCGCTGAAGTTAGACCTATTACCTAAATACGAACATGGAATTCTAATTTACAACCAATAGTTTGCGCAAATCTGAATATGCTGCTAGTCATTTTGAGGAAATAGCGTTATGCAAATAAGCTACACAAGATTATCATCCGAAAAACCGTTACATTTGTAACGAAATAGTATAATAGCGTTTTCTCGTATAACGGTGAAGGTACTTAGATAATTGGAGTATTTCGACAAGTGAAACACTCTTGTTTAGTCAGATTCCCTCCCCCCCCCAATTCCGACTTCGAATCCACTACTCTTTACGAAATCAGCAGACTTTGTTCTTCCGTGTAATAAACCATCTTGTAGAAAACGTTATATAGATGGCACGCAATTTTAATTCAAGTTGCAAGTCGAGACATATTCTTTTGTCCTAAGCGGAAGCGGAAATTATTTTCGAGATTGACGGAACAGCGGATTTACTTTTGAGCGGATCCCAATGAACTCTGTTTTTGAATCAAACAGTAACTGGTGAGATGGGGGAGTGAGGGAGGGTAAGGGTAATACGGTCCGGACGGAGGCACAGTATTTGGAATAGTAGAAACTATTGATCTATTACCTCGTCGTCTATGCCTACTGTACTATTCATGCTCATGGTCTATTATGACATTCGAATGTTGATAACAGATACGATCCACGGAAACGAATTTATGTGTGCTGGATCTGTTGAAAGTAAAAACATAAAGCAGAAGCATACTTCTAGAAGACCAAGTCCGAGTCCGAATCCGAGTTGTGGTTATGCTTGCTTGTCACTCTGATGGATCTTCAATAACTTGGTTCAACGTGGGCGCCGAAATCGTAGTCCGTGGTGTGATCTCGCGATGCCTCGGTTCAAGCGCTGAAACCGTTAGCGAGCAAGTGCTAGTGGAAATTACTTATCATCACGATGTTTATTTACAAACAACCTGCGATCAACGCTTGTGTCGTCTTGTAATGACAGAGAAAACAGCCTAACAGCCGCGTCATCGTGCACAGACCGAATATCACCGATCAATCCAAACGATCAAGCTTCGTAGCTGAACGAGTTTATCATCACAACAATTTCAGCTAGGAAACACTCGACACTCGAATCGATTGATACAAGAAAGATGAATCCATATAAAGATTCTAACTTGTTCTTGCTGCACTCTCCCCACGTGTATTTACGCACACTGCCGAAAAAAGGTATTTTTGGTTGGGGATCCTGAACATCACTAATAGCATATTGTGATTCCGTATCGTTTAATACATAATTAAGCTTGTTCGAACCTTTATGCTCTTGAGGCAGTCGATCGGTCACGCGTCTTATATTGAATTTTGTTGCCAAGGACATGAATAGTATTAGTATTAAAGACCTCGGACAAAGTTGCTGTTAGGTGTTAATAATTCTAGCCTTGCCTTAGCAGTTGTCGCAGCACTTTCGATGATTGTGGGAGCGGCTATTGTTTATCTTATTCATAAAAGACCTAGCAAACTTCCAACACCAATGACAACAACCAGTGTAGCAAATAATACTATTACTACTAACACGGTTGCTGAACAAACTCAAATTCCTACTCAATCAAAAACATCATTAGATTTAGGAATGCCTACGTAGAAAGGATGTGTTTGAGTTTGGGATCTGCTTTACAAATTACCTTGTTATTTTCCTAATTTTCAAGCGGGGTTCAGTTCAAAACTCGGTCGCTCAGTTCAGAACTCAGTAATAGTAACTAAGTTCAGAACTCGGTTGTCTCAGTCCAGAGCTGAGACAGGAGGTGCAGTATAAATAACTTTCGATAAAATCGCTTTTGATACAATCGATTTTTTAAATGCGGAGATACTACTTAGGTAAACCGGATAAAGTGAACATTAAATGAGAGGCTGATGTAACTGAAAGTTGACTAAATTGACTAATAACATTTGATATCACAACTGTAACCTATAATAATAAACAATTATGTAAATTCACTTTAAATTAATATCCGAACATGACTAACATTAAGATGAAGATGAAGTCGTAATTTGATTAATACTAATATGGGAGTGCTGCAACAAAACCAGACAAAGTGAACATTTGATGTCACTCGATATCTTTTAATTTTTTAAATTACTTCCTTATTTTCAATCAAGGTCATTTTTTAACCTCAATTTGAGCACTCTGCTGAGAATTCAATTTTTCCAATTGAGATTTTAATCGAGCAACTTCTTCTTTATAAGATTTTACTTCATTAACCAGTTCTTGGGGAGTTAGTTTTTTTAATCTTTCTACTTCCGTTTCTAACTCTTTTATTCGATCCAATAACTCCTGTTTTTGCCTTTTACTTCATTCCCCGGACTTCATAAAATTCTCATGGGCTTCTCGTTCCTCTTGAATAGTTCATTCGGCTTCATTTAATTGTTCTTGTAAGGAGTTTATTTGGCGTTCGTAAAAGTTGACATACTTTCCCTTTGATCAGGTAAATTAGGGAGTTCTTTCCCCCCTAGATCTTCGTTATGCCTATGCAATCACAAATGTACTTACCAGCAAGAAAACTAAAATTTTGTTCAGTCTGCAATCTCCCGCATCTCTCACATTTGAGCAACTCATCATTCAAAATTTCTCCTCACAATTCTCACATACTACGTCATCTGCGACATATTT